TGATGGAATTAGTGCGAGTTCCATCGACAGGATTGATGAAATCACTTGTATGGTTGACGACGTGATGAATATAGCCCAGGGTCCACTTCGACATATACGGGGAAAATTGGGTTAAAAAAGGGGAAAAATGGGACAATCCATTGAGTGTTAGTACTTTCTTCTGTGTTCTGCTTGTAGGATGTGAAAATATGCAACAGGAAACTGTCGATGTAATTAAATTAAGAAAAACAGTTGAAGTAATGGTAACGTAATTTCGACATAAAAATTTAACTACTTACAGTTTATCAGTAACCTCCCTCGTACAGTAAAATTTTCCATGGTTTCATGTCATTGTCCCATTTAATCGGATTTTTCCCCCTTTTTCCATATTTTCGCCAAAACGTCCCCATTTTGTTCACACATTTGTCTGATTGGGGATTATTAGCTGACTATAAATGCTCCATTCATCTGTATGAATAGTTGTTTCAGGCATCGCTAAGCGTTGGATAATAGACAATTAAGCATTAGCACTGCGATTAGAGGTCGCCTCAGTGTATCTTTTGTGGAAGGTGGTGTCATATATCGCCAACACTCACTGCTGATTTGCACACAATCTACCTCGATTACATTTTCTCCTTATTAACACTGTCTCATCCACATGAAAAATGACGCCATTACCGCCAAGTACCTCAGTGAGTCTGTTCTTTTTCCACTATGTCATTTCTTCGCAGTACTGGCACAGTCACACTGCAGACACTTCTGAATTTTCTGATTCATACACTACTTCCGTCACTACTCTTTTGAGCGCTCAGTTATGTCACATTAAAATTTTCGTTAGAGGTAACTTAGACTTGGCAAAAAAGTACCTACTGAGTGTGTAAACTAAAAATGAACGGGATACCTTCTTAAAATGACTTTCTGGTTTGGCACTCATACCACATGTAAAGAAATCCACCAATGCCTCCAGTATATCTTTGTAAATACATGACACCTCCGCATTCACTCTCTGTCGATCTTGTTGTCAGTTTGTTCTCCAAATAGCAATCAAAAACAAAATATGGAGCGAATTCGCAACGTGTGAGGTGTACGGTGTCCGTAAGTACGCCTGTATAATACGGGTTCACCTGATTGGTTACTCAAGGTCATTCATCCGTTCGCTAGGTTGTTTCGATTCGCGATGCTATGGTTTGGCGTCACCAAAATGCCTACCCTTTGATTAGTAGGCTTCCTTTTCTTTGAGTTGGCATTAGCTTTTGGGGCTTGCCAGGGATTTTCTATCGAGATTTGTCTGAAAACTATGTTACCTCTCCTGATCTTTCCGTTGTACTGCTCCATGACATTAGAGTGCACTCATTGGGCAGTCTTATTCCTATGTAGTGGCTATTTGTGCTAGGCTTTAGGTTTGGCTTAAATAGTGCACTTCATTCCTCTCTCTAACACTGAGAAATGCTTCCTGCTGTTAATATACTACGAGGGAAGTGTTTGAGATCGCCATGTGAGTAACCGCTTTGGGATTTCTGAATCTGCATCTGTTGATAATTCAACCCAGTCTGGAGGCCTTTTTGTGGTAGATTAAAGTTCTCTCACTTTGGCGTATTCGGCACTGCAGTAGCATGGCCAAACTTGTGTAGCATCTCACCTCATGCGAAGGCAAAGAAACAAACCAAGCACTGCGACCACATAGTCACCACTATCTAGATGAATCCTGACCTGAGCGTTTTCTACCTATAAATAGTCATCAAATATGATATCGTCCAAATCTGACGAGTTTCCACTAGTGACGTACTTGGAGTTAGGATATGGAGCATTGAACTGTGCAGCCGTAATGATACTCTAATAGCTTAAGTTCCGTGTTTCCCTGTTGGTGCCGAGAAGAGGCCAATTGTATTCTTTACTACATGAGGGGGTCGATCGATACCACCCGTCAGGATATCTTGATAGTGAAATCAAATCCCACCACAGCTTTAAAATCCCTTTGTCTTTAAACAGTGTAGTTATGAGCTAAGCAATATCAACACAATTATTATCCCGCGTCGGTTTTACGGATTCATGTTCAATTACAGTATAGTTTGAAATGAGCGAATTGTTGTATTACGTGAAATGCTATAAAATATGTTTATATTACTGCTTGTACCACATTATTTATTCTTTGACAAATTGGAAAGTTTAGTTTTTTGTGTTCGACTGATGCATGCATTATTTGTCTGTATTCAAGCCTTTGTAAAACACCCATCATTTTGTTGAGACTTTACGTTCTCTGTGTTTGGACATCAGGTAATCGTAACAATGAAGAATGACTTTTCTGAATCGTCAACGTTTCTGTTTTTATTAATGCTATGCGGTTTTTTTGGAAGTTCCTATTTTCTTTGCCAGTCTTCATCATTAACACTATCGAGGTCTGGTTAGTGTGACTTTCCTCGTAAGATTCCCGCAAATATTTTACACAATATATTTAAATAGACTGGTTGCATAGACGCATAAAAAGGCTAAGTAGAAATAAAAATATATTTTCACTAGACAGCAATGTACAGCAAATACAAACATATGTGTACAAACATTAAGGTCCTACTCATTTCCACATACATTTCTTTCCTCTCTGGTGCTCTGCTGCTCGCCATTTCTCTCCTATTTGCCTTGTAATGGAAGTCGCATTTATCTACAGTAAGACTTAATTTGAACAGGACTTGAAGCCACTTACTTTTGGATACACACAGCTCAACATCTTTGAAAATTTTACTGCCACCATATCAGGACGCTTTATGACATACTATACAAGCAGTATTCATGATTTAAAACGGTTCACAAATAGCTTTCTTACTTACTCGTACAGAGTACGATACCTGGCCACTTATGATGAAAGAGGCTCACGACACCACTTATTAATCCAGTTGCCCTGGTTGCTGATAGGAGACAACAAAATTAGAACATCCAGTCGTGCTTCAAAGGGCAAAACATTCAGACATAATAGAAGTTCAGGGTAGTTTCGAGGGAAACATTTATCAGTATGTCCAACCTAGTAAAGAACGAAGACAAAACACCTGAACACTTCACGTCAATCATTAACAAATTTCGTCCGGGTTTGTTCGAAAGCGTAGTTACTAGATTAAGGTTTAAAATATTTGAAGCATTCAGAAGCCAACTAACTGGTCACTAAAGTACAAGTCAGCTACTCCACTCTACTTCATTTATTTCAGTCCTAAATGAACTCTGTAGATATGATGAACACTGGGAAAACATATCTTCGGCAAGGGAAATTTTCAGGGTATTCCAAATGTATGTTCAGGTGCTCTCCTGCAGTGTGACGCGGAGGATTGCCACAAGACTTCACACTGATGAGGTCAGCACCCCATCTACACCAATTCCTTGATACTGACAGCATTTGTGAATCATCCACGGTAAAGGGATGAAAAGACGCTGCTCTAGTCGACAGTACGTCCTTATTTTCTGCAATATGCATGAAGAAATTTATCTGTTATCATAAGTCAAAAGTGCTTAAATATATTTATTAAATATATATATTATATATATGTATGTATAATATAGCATATGAATATAACATAGAGGTAAGAATTTTGTTTTCAACACAATCGATAAATGATAAATAAATAAATAAGGAAGAACTCAGTGGATAAATAATTGTGCCATTCGAACAGATTTCATTAAAAAAGCTATAAATTCAAGCAATAAATTTAAATATTATAATACTATTTCTTCTAAAACATACGTCACTTTGTGATTTTTTTGTACCAAAAACAAAATGCGTAGAGATCATTGAAACTCCACAACTTATATTTAAATTAAGGCGGGGGGAGGAGAAGTTGGAAGAGGGAGAAAAAGAAATAAAAAACAGAGAGGGACATTCAGCGTTTTCTTTAACTCGCATAGTTTAGCAAACAATTGGTGTAAATAATATTTTTGTGGCAAAGAATAAAGTTAGAGATTGTTGTATACTTCAGTAGGATTTTTCTTAAAAATGAAGAGAAGAGAAATAAATATGGGTCTAGTGTGATGGTCGCAACATACTTAGAATAATAATCATAATAATATTTTCATATTAATACTAGTCATAGTCATAAACACATTTGAGAAATAAAAAGTATTTGAAACTCAATGAATCGTTTACGCAAAGCGACATATTAGAAGTTTTTCTCAGATCAAGCGCATACTGGAGAAGTTCCATCCATAAGGATAATAGAAAATATGTTCAAGAGTGTGAAACTTTAGAGAATGGTATTAAAACTGGTGAAAATGTAATAGTTGGATAGATGGTTGGTTGGATTCCAACAATGTAGAGGAAATTAGATAACTGTTTAGAAGATAAAGAGATGCCACAAAATACAAAAACATTTCAATATATGAAAAGAACGGGAGATTAAATTTAGTTGGTCAACTAAATGTATATTATATGTGGTTACGACGTTTGTCTTAAGTGACTAATGAAGATATGAAGGAGTACTTTTATTATTGTGCTTTTATCAGACCTGTACTTACATACATGTATATGTATGTGTCAGTGTTTTGTGTTGTCTGTCTTAGATGAAAACATATGACAATTGGAAATAACTGGACTTGTATCATATAAACTCCAGTTACTTTTATTTAGTATAAGCATTTAGCATAAACGATATTAGAAAAGAAAAGTCGAAACGAGAACAACTCAACTATTGACCAAATGGATATCGCTAGCGTTAACTTCATGCATATTTGAATTTGGCCATAACAAAATAAACTTTGAAATGAAACACTTAAACAAGAAAAGAAACCAATTCTCCTTCCGATAAAGTCTGAAAATACTTATTAAAGAAATATAAGATATTTTTATATTTTCGAATATGTATATATATGTATAATATAAAGGAGTTGCCTGTGGCTTGTTTTACTTTCTTGTTTATTTTGTGTTAAATAAATATCAGTGAAGTACAGAATCTTCAGATGAAAGGAAGATTATTTCACAAAGCTAAGAAAACAGAACAAAAAACTGATGAAAACGAATAACAATGAAACTTGTAAATTTGGTTAAGTTAATCTCTTACACAAGGGAATACAGAATTCACATATCTGGTTAGCTGGGCTGCTGATTGATTGTGATTTACTTCACAGAACACATAAACCACATTTTCATGTAACCAAAAGCGTTGCTTACGAGCCACTATAGCGAATAACCTAGCAGAAAATAAAAGAGGAGACAAAATAAGTGAAATCCGGGATCAGTACAAACCAAGTCTGTAAATATTACGTGTGAAAATAGCTGGAAGTTACACAGTCTTTAGGGAAAATTGTTCATCTGTTGTCATGTAAGTCAAGGGGAATTCAAGGAAAGATACAAAACATAGGTCACAAGGAGTAGGTAGGTAAGCAGGTGGCTTGTCCTACCCCTTGATATGTGATACCATCATGATTTAGTTAACGAATGAAGCTGGCTGAGGTTTGTGGCAATCTACAGTGCAGAAGCAGTTTCTGAATGACTTCTCGGTCAACCCTATTGAAGGTCTTTCCATCGTAGATGAAGCTAAGGTAAAGATTTGACCGCAATTCTATACTCTGTTCGGTTAAACAGAATAAATTATTTCAAGTCGCACCGTTTTCATGATTTTGATAGACCTCTACAAGCTTAGGTGTCGAGCTGTATGATGGAAGGCTCCAGTGAGGGTAGTAACTTTTTCTGGACAACTCCAGAATTTCACTGGGAGGAGGCGGCGAAATCAATAAAACATTCAGTTATGTTGACGAACATGTATTTTACTACACAGCCTTACTAGATTTACATCTAGGTATTATTATTTTTTTGATTACAGCTTGATGACCTACCGTATTTTCAGTGCAGGTATGGAGTTTTCAGCATGTGATAACAGTAGCCCAAATTACGCAGGCCGACCATACATATCAGGTGTGTGTCGGCAGGGGATCTAACCCCGGACCATGTGCATGATCGGTGAGAGTTCTTATTGCTGTGCCACCGACGCACAAGACAAGAAAATGTGGTTGAATAGATAGGGATTTCTCTAGCTGCGCACACTGGCGACATTATAAATTAGTTGTTTTATACTGGCTGTATTTGTGCATTAAAAACATGAATCTTAGCGTCCCACCCTTCAGGGAGCCTTCTTTATCACAAGTTGATTTTCCTTCTTTATTTGCCTTTATTACACATATGCGATAACAGCCTAAATCATTTTCCAAAACCCAAAAATTAGTTGGTGCTTTTGATGTTACATGCCGTGATTGGAGGTGAAAGGAAAATTTCGGTAGCAGCAGGATTCGAAGCAGTGGTCTCTCGATGACTAGTCTGACACTGAATTGACAGAATTAAGAAACCTTACAGTGCGTCGGGTCATTATTCCACTACAATCATCAATGATACTACCTGGTTATCGCATGAATTAGCGATACTTAGTTGTAAGTACTTCGTTTCACGCTAATCGCCCAACTACGCCCCACCTGTTAACCCTAACCGAAGGATTTATCAGGTTGTGCTTCTGTAAAGTTAAAAATTGCTCACTTAATCCTGTGACATGACTTATTGTTTATTTAGTTTCATCTCGGATAATATTAGCCTGTGGTTCAAGAATATAATTCTATTTACATGTAGTGTGGGGTTCATCCACTCAAATGAATCTCAGGCATTTTGCCTACATCGGTCATTTTGTTTATTTATGCTCACTGGATCGGACTACGACAGTCGAGGTTTCAAAGAAAAAAATAGGGCGGCTGTTGCATTGCGGTGTGATTCTGCGTCTCTATACTGTCTTCGGACTATCGCTATTAAATGCGTACCTGGTCAACCGCAAGTTTCATGTTCTCGCTTCAATGGCTGAAGCAGCCACCTGGTTAGATGGGCCAGGTCAAAAAGTCTAGGGAATATATGACTACACAAAAATGGTGGGCGTTTTACGTAACTGAAACCTGCTTGAAATGATCTCAGACTCGTTCAAGTAACGTAACTAACTGGTTTCCTAGACAGTAACCATCGTTAACTAGTATACAGCTTTAATAAATGATGTGATCCGAAGGCTGAAAAAACTTCCTTTGACCAGTTATGCTTTGATTGGTTTCAAAGATGGACTTATTTAGAGTGACGGAATGGTAATCTGGTTAAGATTTGGATCTGATAACTGGGCCAGCCGAGTGCTGAACTGATGATTGGGTAGCCGATGGTTTGAATTCTGTGGTCCTGATCCAAACCCTCATTTTACCTTTAATCGTTGCCTTTTAGGTCAATGACAGTCCCTTAGTCCAAGACTATCTCCGATGGTCTTATCAATAATTAAAAGCCTGGTGGGTTTCTTCCACCTCTGTGTTATTAGGCGCCACAGGAGATTTAGCCTGGTAGCTAGTGTGGTGACAGATGGATGCATTATCCAGCCGTTTGATAAAAAGGGTATCAGTGAAATGATGAACTAGTTAGCATTTTTCTAGCTGTTAGGACTCCAAACTGACAGTTGTGAGGGAAATAGTTTTAGTCCTGAAGCGAACGGAACGTGTCTTTTTTGTCTTCATTTACCATCGAATTCATACACCATTTGATATGCACACTTCATCACATCCACCAGGCATCATAATCTGGGTCACATGTGCAATTATATACATTTATATAACTTTTACAAAACATCAGATGGTATTCTATTTCGTCAGAACATCATTTGATATTTCGCGTGGGTAGGTTCATAGCCGTCGTGTATATATAAATAGTAATAGAGTACAACCAACAAAAACGAACTGGAGGCTGACTTACTTTGAACCATACATTCCTTTAGATCGTAATTCTACATCATTAAATCTACAAAGAAAATGTATATATAGATGAAGTTCAAATTGGAATGATGAAATTTTTAAAAGTATCATGAGAATTACTAGCAAATTTTTGTATTTTGATTTTAGTAATTCAGGTTTAAAAAAATAATCTATTGTTTGCGTTAAAGAGAATGATTAGTGGGCTAGTTCTGTGCCTGTTTAACGAATTCTGTCTAGCAAATCTTCAGATAGTATAGATTCTGACCTGTAAACAGGATTCACTTCGATTGATATCACGTGACTGCAATAAATCACTAGCTATGCAAAAGTACACTTTGAGATACTTAATAGCTGTCAGAGAAGCATTTGTGTGACTTTTGGAACTAACTGTAAGGTAGATTTCCCCGGTAGGCATCCATGAATTCAGTAGAGGTTGTATTCGATATTGTGCCAGGTTGTGAGGCGAACATATTACCATTCAAGTCACTAACTTAAGGTAGTCTGAAGTTGTCTTACCATGGACTGGAGTCACATGCGTTGCTACTGAACCATACCCTAGCTAGTAGTATTTGATATCTAAATTAGGTAGTAACGCATCACCTATGAACGACATGTTTTCATACGTAATAATTTTGGGGAGTTTCACTGCTTTTGTTACCACGAGATGAACTAGTCAGAGGACCGATAGTGAATAATGGTAGCTACGTAATGTCGAAAATTGAAAATGTTGGGCGTAACAGAATACTACATTCTATCCATATGCTTGAATGATAACCTGTCCAGTATAAGAGACGACCATCATAGCTGGACATCATAAGATATTCTCAAGCAGCCCTCCATTTGTGCTGAATTTATTACTAAAGTCCACTTGAACAAAAGACATCATAACTACGGAAGGTGAGGTATTATTTAGTTGGTAGTAGATGGCAAGAGAACCAAAGGTGTATATTTCTTCCAATCCGGAACTCATCATTCAGGTAAACCTTTATCCTGGATGGCTGATGTTGTTCTCACTGAGGTTGTAATCTAGCCCTTATGATTTATAGAAACGAAGGATCGTTCACTGGGGCCTCCAGGGCACCGGGTGTCATTTGTTATTTGTCGAATTTTCTATTTTAAATCTTTCGTTATTATTATTGTTGTTTACTTTAATTCTTGGAGAAACGCAGGGCTTCAGCTGCAAGTCACGATTGCGCCCCGTTCTCTGCCAAAGTTTTCACCTAACTTCACGTCTGCTGAGATGCTTTTATCTCCTCTTCGCTTAACCTCCTTGACGTCACTCTCGCACTGACCACGAACTCGCCGCTTCCCATTCAGGTCACACTTGAGCGATAATCTGAAGTGTGATGCCACTCAATGGTTTGTTTTCTCGGAATATAGCCAATCCACCTCCAATTCTTCCTGCATAATCACTGCACAATTGGTTCCTGCTGGGTAGTTTCATTCATTGCCAGAAATGCCTGTTCCTGATCTTTCCCGACCAGCCATCTGACGTTGGGTGGTATTGAGCGAAGACATCTGTTGATGAAAGTCTGTAGTTTGTTCAAAGTGCCTTTGTTGGTGCACCAAGTCTCTGATCCGTGTAGTAAGTAGCACTGACTTCAGATAGGAGTTGAAAATCCGGATCTCATTTTTTATGCTGAGTAACCGAGTGCTGATCTCTACAGAGACTTGAAAGTAATGAAAGCTTGCTTTGCTTGCCGGATCGATCCTCACTTTGATTTCCCATCAGTATCGTCCGCCTGTAGTTGAAACGATGCTCCCCAGGTAGGTAGGTTAAGGAGATTCCTTCTGTCACATTTCTTCCATTTATGCTGATTGTTGTCTGTTGTTGTTACTGTTTCTGGTGGGCAGGAATCTTCATCACCTCTGTTTTCTATATGTTCACCTGAAGTGAATTCCTAACCTTAATGCTTCTTCTATCAACTTGTTGACTTTCGGTTGTATATCTTCCAGTTTGTAGGAAATCAGACATATACCACCGACGAAGTACAGGTCCTCCAAGTCTTTCGGATGGGTCCATTTTATTCCTGTCTCCTCGTTGCCCGCCTCTGTCTGTCACATTATCCAGTCTACTTCCCGCGATCAGGGAAATCTTGGGAGATACTAGGCAGCCAGTCTTGTCTTACTCCCGTCTTCACTTTCCTCGAGGGATACCGTGAGTTTCCCGTTTTGGATTACTTGGCGTGCAGGATTGTCGTAAAACTGTTGGATGAGTTGTATAATTAATGGCGGCAACCTGTGCTAGCGAGGTAGTCGCCAAATCACCTCTCGACCGATGCTGTCAAGGGCCATTTTAATGTCAGTGAAGTCGACATAGACAGTTGACTGCCATTTCAAACTCTGTTCGGTGATGACCCGTAGTGTTGCGCATCGATCGATGCATGACTTGTTCCTCCTGAATCCAGCCTGTTCCTGTCGAAGTTTCTCATTCATTTCGGCGCGTTTGATTCTCTTCAGGGTGGTGCAGCTTGGTATTTCAATTGGGATGGACAGGATCATAATGCAACGCCAATTCTTGAATTCATTTAAGTCTCCCTCATTTGGCAGTTTGAATAGGCAGCCTTTCTTCCAATCAGCAGGTACCTTGCTCCGTTTCCACATCTTCTCCATTAATGGTATCATCAAGCTCGTTGATGTCTCTGGATCGAAAGGCGAAAATTCCCGCTTAAAACAGTTCAATAACACTTTCCTGTATAGCTACAGAAAAGTAGTAGTGGCTCTATAAAGAGAACGATAATCTAAAACTTCGTCAACACTGGTCATTCCATTACGAAAAATACCTTCTTCAAAGTAATATACAAAGTGAAGAATAACCTCCCCAGGGAAATAATCCTTGGTCCATTTGCACTGGTGATGAATTAGTCATTCATTTAGAAAAACCGAAGCTGTGCATACAAAGGAAAATGTTTTCAACCACTTCCCCTAAGAGCGTCATGAGTAGCATGTCAAACAATTAGCAGACTTCCACGAACGATTCAATTTGTTTCAGACAGAAGATCAAACAGCCTTGCAGAAAAGGATAAGTGAAGAAGAACTCTAAGAACTTATCGTTCAGCAGATATGCTGAAAGAAATGGAGACTGATAGGGTATACGGTAAAGAATTCAAATAACGTCACACACACACACACACCAGAACCGTGAGTAGGACGCGAATGGAAAATAATGAGTTGGGTGTACATCCGAGGATGAAATGGAGGAGATTGTGTGAGCAGGAAGTGAATACTTATGGCCAGTCGTGTAGCCATCTAGAAAGTACAGGAAAGAATAGGATGAAGTGAAGGTGTGTTGTGGAAGCCCCATATTCCATTCGGCGTCCAAGAGAATACATTTTTTCCTTCACGTTCCCAGTGGAAAATAGGGCCTCAAGCTAGTGGCCTGAAGTTTCTATAGCAGTGTTTAATTTTTACAGGATGGAGTTGCTAATCTCATGCCCGACATTTCCTCTTTACCAGGATTATTTCTGGCTGAGTGAGGTAAAGGAGTGCGTTGGCCGAGGATCGAACCCCGGACCATGTGCACGGTCGGCGAGGGAATACTAATAATCCGTTTATTTAAGCCACGGAATATCATTGAATAGTTTAGAGCACACATAAAGTCGTTTGATCAGACCAACACACTTACTCTCTGTTTTCTGGATCCATACCACACCAAAGTAGATTGCTTGGTTTAATAACTTTTTTCCATAGACTTCGTCTTGATTTTTCCATGAAAGTAACTCCTTCATGTGGAATAACTTTAATCTGTACTTCACATTGTTTTGGTAGACCATCTGAATATGATTCAGCTAGACTAAGAATTTTTCCAATTCCACGACTTGCAGCATTCATATTTTCTAAACGATCAACTTCAACTGAGCCAAGATATAACATATCCATAGCTAAAATACATGGGGATATTGAAAAAAGTCGAAAGTTTATTCGATAAATGATGTTGTAGGATATAAACAGCTAATTTTGTATCTCATGATTGTTCTTCCCCTGATGACAGCCCAATGATGATACCAGTCATTATAAGTGGGCATATGTAACAGACTTCATGGTGAAACCAACACTTGAACGATAATGTGTTGCTCATTAGTGACTACTAACTCTATTAAGGTAGGTAGTTACCTGGGTTGTAATAGGAAGTCGTGAGTAGTGGGGTACAGCAGGTAGGATGTGAGGAAAAATACTCGCCAGCGATGACATTCGTTAGTGCCGGTCGCACCATAGCGTTAAATGACAGAAGTTGGAATTTATGGACCAGTGGGTTGGGTCCTAACGGCTTAATAAATTCTAATTTTTGGGTTATAATTAAGATAGACCTCAAATAACTGCACTTACTAAATACTTCACCGCTTACTAACCTTATCAGTACTCTACCTAGCGTATAAGTACTGAATGACGAAATCGAAGTAAAAAGACTTGAGGCCGGAAGTGTGTCTTGAAGGCAGTTATATTTTACACAAATGAAATATCACTTTTAATAAATAAGGATGTTATACCACTTGTCGGATGCCTCGACTGAGTAGTAAGCTCGAAGAGTTCGCAAGGGAGCGAACCACGTATGTATAGTCATGTCAGAAACCAAAAGATGGATGAATGGGTTAAAACAAAAATCCAAAGGTTCAGGATGCACTACAGGTTATCTCCCCCCTTAGAAGGTTGGTGGGATACCTGCAAGCTTCCGTGCACGAAAGCAGTGAGCTGAGAGAAGTGCTTTGTGCAATAACATTGAATGAACAAAAAAGACTGAGGGTAGTAATAAAGAATTGTGAAAGAAAAGAAAAAAGTTAAGGCAAGTGAGAGACACTATGTATATGGTTAGTGGAGTAAGGTAAAATATAAGAAGAATAAATGACGCCGGTGCCCTAGCGCGAATTTTTATTCTGTAGAGCTACGGTTTAACTTATGTGTAGGGTCGATGGTGTACCTCCGTTGCCTAGGCTATCATAACGGGAAAGTGGCTCATTATTTCTAAGTTGCGCCTTAGACCAATGCTCCATTCCTTCGCTTCAGCAGCAACTAGCAATCGATACTAAGGACAACAAATATACCAGCGTATTAGAAGGAAGGTGCATTACAAGTTTATCAGCTTGGTAGCCTCGTGACCGGAAGTTAGAGGGTCCAGACCCTGCGTACTGCCGGAGAGTCTCAGACAACAAGCACGTGATGACTGTTCAGTACTTCCTGATGGTTTTCCGAATAGTTTTGTAACCGATATCAGTTCATATGCTTAATCATTCTTAGCACAGTATTGAAAGAAAAGGTGTGAATATAAGAAAGTTAATGATCTGAAGATCAGAGTTTCCCCATTATAGAGTAAATTTATTTGATGTAGAATACACGGTGATACGGTGTAATGTTTAGAGGACCCAGTTGATCCAATTAGACAAAATAACATAATTTACAAAATATCCTGCAATGACTATGAATGACGTCAACTACATAGGTCAGTCAAACTAGTAGGTTGGGGGTAGTCAGATAGTCGGAACATAAGAAGTTAGCTAAGGTAAGAATGGTTGACCCCGAGAATATAAGTAATTTAGAAAAACGCTCGGCAATTGTAATACATGCATTAACACGCAACCACATAATAGGGTGGGAGAAGGTTAAAATTCTAAAAAGTAATCTAGGTAGGTGGAGAGAGAGGTTGATTACTGAATCCTTGTTCATCGAGTCTACACCCAACACATGCAATAAGAATGATTCATCACTGATACTCGAAATATGGAAAATACTACTACCAGTCAAATCAAGTGAAAACCAAGTGAAAAATAATGGAGTTATATAAATGAAGTTAGGAAGTTGTGTGAGCAGTGCCTTGATATGATTATGAGTGACAATAAATTGTACTCGAAACGTGGTCATCAGTAAACATTACTGTATAACACTGTGAGACTTTATCAAAATAATATTTTACTCATAATGGAATAACACTCTACCACAATGCACAAGTTTTATTTTTATATCAGAAAATCGTGATGCAATAGAAAATTGTAGCACGAGATAAGCGTTACACAACATTCCTGTATTCTGAATTTGTTTACTTGTAATGAAGTGAACACGACACGAAGATGGAACTTGGAGCATTATTCGAGTGACACATTAATGGATGAGCTTCGACGTATACATTCAGTTTTATTAGCTAATGGTTATCTGGAGAACTTTATCACTTGTCACAGTAAAGAAAAACCACATCTCGAAAAGACAGCTTCTGTACCAAAGAAAGCTATCTTCATTAACCTACCATTCAAGAGCAACCGGATTATGCAGTTGACAGCTCAAAAACTTCGGTCAGCTATCAAACGCACATTCTACGCCGCATCTGTTTCTCTCTCTCACTTGCCGAACATTTTCGATCCCTGTACCTACCTACGATTAAAGGACGAAATTCTGTGGACTCTACTTCAAACTGTATCTACAAGTTCACCTGCAGCTGTGGTGACACCTATATAGGTAAAACCAACAGAATGTTCCAATGTCGTCGCCAAAGAACATGTTCCAAAATGGCTGCTAAATCATATCAAAAATCCCAACGCAATTAATGTGAATAGAAATCCAGCATCATCCAATGGGAAACACTTATTAATGTCTGGTCAAAAAATCCACATTAATGAATGACTGCTTCACAATTATTTCATCACATAACTCTAATTCAAGGTTATTGAAGGTGATGGAAGCACTTTGGGGGATTAATCACATACAGCCTAAACTGTGTGTACAAAAAACAACAGACTTCAATCTTCGCCTACCATGGACTACTTGACCTATCTAAATATGACTGGTCATTAGTATTTACTTTTGTTTTTTATTTAACTGAGTAACTTTCATGAACTTTATTTTATTATTGTGAACCATGTTAGTTGTAAAGCGGTTGCAAAGAAACTACGAAATGATGATATCATCTCACGAAATTTGTCTTCTTAATGCCTTATTCAAGTTTATCAAAGGGACTAATTGTTTTAATTAACATTATTCGACCGTCGAATAATTATTTCATTTGACTGAAAGCACAGACAAACACATGCACACGCACAGTGACACGGTATGATTGACGAAATGACGCTTTTAGAGCACAGTTTATCGTTCACTCATAATTATCATTATATCAGGTTAATACTCACATGACGTTCAAAAATTGTTAATGTAAAACTGTTATTTTCTTTTTTAATCCTTTAATTTTACGAGTAATAACTACTTTCTACATATCTCCAGCATTATCGATCTTACGTCATCCTTATTTCACGTGTTCTGTATAGATTTAATGAAGTGAGGCAGAGAGAGATTCGGTTATCAACCTGTCTTTCCAACATCTGCCTATATTACATTTTAGAACTGTAGGCTTATTCCATTCTGTTTTGTGCGGTTTTGTGCATAGTACATACACACATTGCATAGCAATACATGGAACATCAAAGAATAAGATAGATATCTCGGAATTATGTGCGCGAAAAAACGTTTACAAATTTGTGTGAGTGAGTGCCTTGATATAATGATTAGAAGCGAGAAATCAATGGTGCTCCAAAACGTCATCTGTAGGTGACACTGTATACCTAACTTTGTGTGCTATTTTGTAAAATATATTTATTCTGTGATAAAATAGTCAGAGTTTCACCAATGACTAATTTTTACTATGTCACTGAGTTGTCTGGTGATTACTTTTGCAAACCCCTGCCTACTTTATCGACAAAGACTGAATATTTTTTTTAACAGTCACATGGTTTCTGATGTCATCAGTTTCACATGTGACTGGCTAATGAATAAAACTACTATGTGAGCACAAAAAAAACGGAGGCTTATTCCTTATAAATGAGAAGAGCTTCTGTTGCTTGAAGACGGAGTGGGCAAAATCTTTTTCAGCGACCTGATCTGACTTTATACATTATTCAAAATGCCCTCCCCCCTTCCCGCCTCTGGATAGCTCTCATTATTTCTAGTCCTATGGGGTGGGGGGAAAGAATACACGTCATACTGTCTGAAATTCTTTCTTCTCCGTGTTTTTGTAGGCAGTATCCCACCCCCCTGTGTCCTGTGTTCAGAAGCAGTTTGCTCAATCTCTCTTCCTTCCTCGGCCTACGCTCCCAACCTAAAATAGTTATCTCTTACGGAGACAAACCGGATAGTTCTACATTTTTTCTTATTATATTTTGATTTGATTTTATTTTTAATGCTGAATGTATTATCAATATCATGCTGTGCTGTAGTTGAACATTTTAGTCCCAGTTTCACAACTTATCATTACTGTTATTATATTATCTAATTGCTATGTGATAATAGCAATAAGGAACCTCGGTAACCACCTTACACAGAATTCTTAACAAGGCAACCAGGAATAAAAGTGGCTGGCATTCACACCAACCACTAACTCAATTAGAAACAAGCTTCTTCAGTCAAAGGATCCTGTGGAGCCTTTAAAACAGAACAATTTAGTTTACTTAATATTCTGCTGTCAATGATTGTCAGGTCAAATACATAGGTCAAACTAGTAGAACAAGTGCAAACAGACTAGCTGAACATAAAAACCTAGCAAAATCTAGATTAGTTGTCCCGAATAAGATAAGAAATCTAGAGAATAGTTCAGCTGTAGCGCTCACTACATTCAATTGCACACAGTAGGATGGGATAAGATGACAAGTTTAAAATCTAATGTAACAGCGGTAGTAATATATGTATTATTATTATTATTATTATTATTATTGTATCCTTTAGTTCCTAGAGGAACATAGGGCTTCAGCTGCGCACCTCCATTGCCTTCGGTTTTCTGACAACTTTTTCACCCTGCTCCAGGTATGTCCACATGCTTTCATCTCCTCCTCGCATGACCTCCTCCAAGTCACCCTTGGACGACCAACTCGCCGCCTCCCTTTCGGGTTCCACTCGAGCAATGGCTTGTCTAGTGATGTCACTTGATGGTTTCCTCAGCGTATGGCCAACCTATCTCCATTTCTTCCTGCCTATTTGTTTCACAATCGGTTCCTGATTGGTTCGCTCACTGCCAGAGATCCCTGTTGCTGATCTTTTCTGGCCATCTGATCTTGAGTATTGAGCGAAGACAACTGTTAATGAAGGTTTGAAGTTTGTTTGAGATGCTCTTTATGACTCGCCAAGTCTCTGATCCGTATAGTAGCACTGACTTCACATTGGAGTTGAAAATCCGGATCTTATTTTTGATGCTGATTGCTGTTGACCTCCACACAGATTTGAGAGTAATGAAAGCTTGTCTTGCTTTTCCGATTCTGGCTTTGATGTCCTCGTCAGTTCCGCCTGTAGTTGAGACGATGCTTCCCAGGTAGGTGAAGGAGGTTGTTTCTTTCAGGTTCTTCCCATTTATGCTTATTGTGGTCTGTTGGTGTTGTTGATATGTATATGTAGATAATTCAATAAATAATTTAGGCCAAATCTTAAAAGTTACGTAAGACTAAATGTGAAGTGGACAGATAATCAGAGTTTGAATAAATATCATAAAAATGCTAAAGAGATGGGAAATAAGAAAGGTGGGGGTTTTTGAATAGAATTCACCTAGGCCAAGGGAGAGACAAAGGTTAAACAAACTTCCTTTGTACACAAGGACTACGATTGTTCTCTCGAATTAATTCCCATAGCTTCGGCTATGTGTAGAAGACGGGTTCTGATTCCGTTCAAAAGACTCGATGGAATGCGATAGATAATTTTGAAGGCACTACTTTTGTCCTTTTGGTGAACGCTATCAATCAAATAAGCCAAAATAGAACTTCGTATAGATTTCATTTGACCTCTTGCGAACCCTGAAAGAAGACGCTCATTAATGCGTTTGTTAAGCTGTCTAGTTGTTTGCCCTATATAGCTCTCTCCACAGGAGCAACTAAATTTGTAGATACACATGGAAGTGACACAGCTAGGTAGCATATCTTTCACTTGAGCAATCAAAATTGGTCGGCTGAAAAATGACAAACAAAGGGTGACGACAGTATAAGTTCGTTTTATCGCTCCAATAACTTCAGATGCAAGACTTCGCTAGCCACGTTCCCATTAAATTGCAATTTCATGAACAGTTGTTTCTTTTCAATTGTTATCAGTTTCTCTTTATTGTACCTGGTGTTCATGGGTATGCTTACAAATCTACTAGGATAACCCATTTGGACCAGCGTATTTTGGATGTATCTTAACTCATTTTGTAGGGAGTCATCTGTACAGATATGTCTTACTCTATTCGTGAGGCCTCTGACCGAATTGGCTTTGTATCGGATTGTCACAAAAGCTTTGTTTATCGAATCAATTGACAGGGAATACATGTAATAGGAATGATTCAACACTTGTCCACCTGGACATCTGGAAAATTCTACTACCCCGCCTACGACGACAAGTAGGAGAGAACAAAGAAAACTATAAAACTGAAGTTTCGAAGTTGTGTGATTATAATTGATGAAATGATTATGAACAGCAATAAATTGTGTTCCCAAATTCGTCATCCAGTAAATAATACTGTTTCATCGACTGTGTGATACATCTAATAAACAAACTAATGTGGAATTACTTACTACCACAGTGCCCAAGTTTTACCCACATATGGCGATAATAGTTACTTTCCCCTCTACCCTACTAGTATGCACATTCTATCTACATAGTCATCGTTGCCCAGATTATGTAAACACTCGAATGAATTTACCCTTGTTATTATGTTATTATGATCCCCTCGATTGTTATCAATTAATTCACATCCCTGAACTCTGATCCTTTATGTCTCCTATTAACCACATTTATCATTCAGATGCCTATGACTAATATCTCATCATTAAGTAAATGTCGAAGCCTGATGAGAATTTACCAGAAAACTAGATCGAGACATTGAGTCCCCTATTTAAGGAAGAAATAGCGAAACGAGTGTCTGAGGTTGACAGCAGGACTTCCCCTGAGGTAACCTGGCACAACATACAGTTATATGTAGACACAGCTGTAAAAGCTGTTAATAAGCTAAAACCAAAAGTTAGTAAGAGCCATTGGATTTCTACCGTCTCATCCGAATTGACTGAAACAAGAAGGCTGATTCCGACGAGCTCCGATTATGATGAGGAGCTAAAGTTACTCAAACGAAAACTAACAAAAAGTCATCACAACGACCGTGAACAGTGGTGGCTGGCGACAATAGCAAAAGAGATGGAAAAGGCATCGACAGTTGGCAACACCAGACAACTATTTAGGTTTATCAGAGAAACAGGTGGCTAAAAGCAAATGATAAGTGAAACAATCTCTGAGAAAAATGGCACCTATAATTAGCTCCCAGGATAGACGACTGGAACGCTGAATAGAACACTATGAGGAGCAGTTTAATTGGCCTATAGCCACGCTCAGCCTACCGAACATCCAACACCTCCCTGAATGGGATACAGACATAGGCCTTCCTCGACGGGTAATGTTAGCTGACATAGGGTCAGACTGGAAAAGAGCTAGTAGTGGTTAAGCCAAAACATGACACCATTCAATGAAATCCAGTTAGTTAAAGCCAGCCACATAGGAAGGTGAAGACTTCCTGACTAACTGGTTTGGGTAAAAACCATTGGTAAAAACCAATGAATGCCGGAAACAATTGGTGATACGGCTGAAAATCGTTCTCAAAGGCCAGCGCAGATGCATCCAATCCTTGTGACTTATAATTTCCAATGAAACTGTATCGTTCTGCGTTACTACTATTCCTTTGTCTCACACCTCTGTTTACTCTCTCTATTATGCATTTCTTCCACTTTTTTCCCTTGCATTGTGTGCTGCAAGTTGGGAGTGTGACGACTTGAACTGCTGCACGTCGGTGCAAAGTCTATGTCGAAAACAGACAGACAGACCGGAAAAAAGATCGTATTTGCTTTCATGCTTTATCAGGAGATATAAAAAAGAAAGAAACCCATCGAAAAGTATTCCACAAACGAGTGAAACTTACTCATTGTACTACTAGGCACTGCTGTAGGCAATGGTGTTTCTGAACTATAAGTACCATGATCGTTGACAGTTGTTCTTTGTTGATTGAATACAGAATGATTGGTTACTGTAGGAAGGCGTAGAGTGCATGGTAGAGCACCTTGTCGATTTAGGTGATAATGAACAAAAGCTGCTAAACTTGGAAATGTTGGATCACTAGAAAATCCACGCAAGTGAACACCATTCCCACGTCCATCATGCATAGGTACAGTACCGATGAGAAAATGACGAACCCATTCTGATTGATTATCATCTACTCGATAAAACAAAATCAATTATATTGATTATTATTCATTAGTCAATATTTGAATACTTTTTCAAGAAAACAAACAATCTTATGAGGGGAATGTGCTTCTTTCTGTTTGAAAGTGGGGAGACTTCACCGGAAGACCTCAAAATTTTAGGAGAAGAGGAATCCAAGGAGAAAAATTCCATTTTTCAACGTCTTACTTAAGTGAACATCTACGGTATACGGGAAATCTACACACACACACAGAGATAAAATACTGAATTACAACCTCAACAAATCAATAACTAACACACAAAAACAGTTGCTTAGAAACGTTATTCAAGAGAGCCAGGACTCACTGCATTACTCATGCCCTGAGAAAATTGAGGCGAAAGATCTTATGGATGTTTTCCAAGAAAACTCAGAATAACTGTGAAACCTCATTAAAACACATCTACCCCCAACACTGTCAAACAAATCAAGGGAATGGAGGATTTCATTATGAGGTGACACCAGTTAGAGAACCACTGGAAAACCACCTGAGAATACTGGACAGCTATTTCAATTTTCCTAGTTTGGGACTCTTCATCAGTACGCACCCACCGCCAGGGTGCGAACCCAGAATCTTTTGGTTATAAGGCCAGCGAGCTAGTAGACTATTGAGCCACTGGGACCGATCCAACGGCCGAAACAGCTTTCCAGTACTCCCAGCTGGTTTTCCAGTGTTCTCTAACTGATGTCAGCTTATGATGAAATCCTCCGCCCAATCAAACAAAATCCTTACAGAACTAATACTTGAAAACTAATCTGATGCTCACTAGTGACTGGCGTCCCTATTCAGGCAGATACCTGTAGTTCAGATGGGAAACCGTGACCACTAAGGTACAGACGGTTGAAGGTGAGGCAGTAGCTCATCGAAGAAGACATTGAGAAGTGGTCGTGCTATGATGTGAATTGGCAGGAGTTAGAATTCATGGGTTTTCTATTAGATTGACCCAAGTGGCTGATGAATGGTCTACGAGCTCGCTAGCCTTGTAACCAGAAGGTCGTGGGTTTGAACCGTGGCAGTGTGTGCGTACTGATGAAGAGTACCAAACTAGGACGAAACGGTTGTTTAGTGCTTCAAGGTTTTCCAATGGTTCTCTCATTGATTTCATCTCACTGTGAAATCCTGAAAAAATGATATCACTGCAAACCAACAATGGAATACCCTTTATTTTAATTGGGAAGAATTTTCCGCATACGTGGGGTAAAATATGGTGTTTAATCTGTTTCATTACGAGTGCTACGTTAATGTTTCTTGTAAATAAACAGCTTTCTGATGTATAATACAGGACAGATTCTGTAATCAAATGAATGGTATGTTTCTAGGGTCACTGGTGTGTCCTCACTCCATCGGACTCTTATTTTAGTTGTTATAATTGTTGCATTGATCGGTCGTTGTAGAATAGTCAGTATTATGTTTCTAATCTTTAATGCTGTTCTAACTGCACCCTACAAGTCCAGTTGCAATGCTGTCATCGATATAGGTGACTCGACTTTGGGGTTCACTTTGAACTGAGGTAAGGTGTTAGGAGCTACTTGACAGGAAGCTCCATCTGAACTAGGTTTTATGCTTGTTGGTACTAAGTAGCAAGGTATGCCTGCAATTTAAGAAGAACTGACAACCCCTTAGGGATTCGAAACTGAGTTGTTCAGTGCTTTAGTCAAACACATTAAAACTGAGTTATTTGACCTAACGATTGCCCTACTGTGTATCAGGGTTCACATAACCTTTAACCCGGTAACTGAAATCTCATTTCGAACTGTGTAAATTGTGAATGAATTCGCAAAAACAAGAACAAAGACTAACTGAACAACCAATCACAGCAGACTTTGCGTGGGTGGATACGATTTGCAGATATATGGTCTGACATTCAAAGAAATGGCTACAAAGAGATGAAAAATAACTATTAGCGAGAAAACAACCAATCAGAAGACACTGTTTCTCTGCTGACAATAACGAATGATAACGTATATAAAAATCTATAAATATCTGTTGATTTCCTCAATAAACGATCTATTGCCTGGTCTGTTGTCTTCTGTCGTAACCTACTCCCAAAATGGTTGGTTTAAGGGGATTTAGCTGATTGGTATAGGTCAAACTGGGAACATTGCTGATGAGATTGACCCCAAATGAGCTGAACGGTAATCCGGTATTTAAATCACTTCTACCTAGCTAGCAAGCAAGTACTACTGGCTAGTGTGAGTGGTATTCAACGTTTTATCGCAGCCAATCACTAGTAATGTGGTGTATAGGGTTCACATACTGATCCATGTCAAACAAAGCTGGCATCACAAATGAACTTGATCGCGAAAGAGAACGAATCAGTCATCGAATGTTACCATCACATGTTGGTCTGTGTAACAGGCATCACTGTTTGATATGAGTGACACCGAACTACTCAAATCGAGTGAGTAGTATATGTTATCATGAAATCACACAGATCATTGTTCCTAGGGGAACATAGGACGCCTTCAGTCTAGAGCTCTGAAGTTTCTGTAGGAATGGTGATTATTGTTTCATGATGGGGTTGCTAGCCAGCCTCGTGCCCCCTCCTTACCAGTTTTACTACTGGCTTAACGAGGTAATGGAGTTCGCCGGTGGCCGGGGATCAAACCACGGACTACATGTGGAGTGGTCGGCGAGCACTCTACCGCTGTGCCACCGACTCACTAAGAAAGAAACAAAAACACTGTGGACTTTTTAAAAATAAAACAACACCAAATAACTAACCTTTGTTAGGCAACCCCCTTGGTGAACTTGGTGGAATTTTCAGTGCCAAACCAAAACTGTCAGCATACGTGTTACTGTTACGAATAACAAAACTGCCAGGCTCTTTGTCGCGTAATAATGCGATTACTGAAAAGCAATTATGAAATTTAATAATGAGACGATAGAAAAGATATTTCTCATTTAAAAAAACATATAACAGAATATGAAATAGTTTACGTATGGCAACTGAAGCCTTTGGTTTTGAGGTTTTAAATAATGTAAGATGGTTGAAGGCGATCGGCCATAGGAAGCTCTACTTGATCTAGGTTTAGTGCTAGTTAGTAGACACCAGTCAGTCAGCAAGGCAGGTGTATCTGCAACCGCCTTGAAGGGATTTATGTCCATTCTGACATTCGGAATCGCATCAGCCAGTGCTGTCTGAAGTCAGAGACGTTCCTACTCACTTAGGTAGCTATTCAGGCTAGCGATTCACATCCTGTAAGACTACAATGAATATTTTTGATTAGATGCTAGTGAGTGAATGTTGTAGTGTGTCTAGTTCTTCGTGTGTTGCATACTGAATTCGATCAGTTACGTTCGCAATGTGGCTACTGGTGCCAATGGGTGGCTTGCCATCATCTGCACTAACTGGTGTCCAATCAAAAGAATCTAGAAGAATGCTGAATGTCACTAACCAATCGATGATGAGAAGGCGTACATTTCATTCATGGCTGATGATTGGCTAAAGTCGCATTGAATTCTGATAACATCCTACCGAATAGGCATGTCATAACAGACGTATTACGTAAGAGTCGATAGTTTAAAGGTTGAATATTTACTAACCGTGCAGGAGATCGTGATTCATTTCGTGGCTGACGAACTCCTAAACCTTAGGCTAGAGAAAATAGATGGGACACTGGGTGTGAGGCTAACAACTATACCTCAAAGAAACAATACTCCAGATACTGGGACTTTAAAGCTCAGCGTATGAAGGCCTATTTTCCACTGGGAACATAAAGAATCGCAAATGACGTTATTATACATATATATATATATATATATATATATATATATATATATATGGACTGTAATAAGACAAAACAGATCTTCGGTCTGACCCCTAACAGTTATTTTTATCATTATTATTCCCTTGCGTTCCTAGTGGAACAAAAGGCTTCAGCTACACATCTCCACTTTTTTCTGTTTTCTGCCGTGCTCTTCAACTGGGTCTATGACTGACCAAACTCTCTCATCTCTTCCCCACACGATCACCTCCATGTCACCCTCACACTGACGACTCACTCGTCGCTTCTTATTTGGATTCCACTCGAGCTATGGCCTGGTGTGCGATGTCATTCGGTAGCCTTCTCAATGCATGCCCGATCAATCCATCCCCACTTTCTTCCACATATTTGTTGAGCTATCGGCTCTTGCCTGTTGGTTTGTTACCCTAAATTTCTTGTTGCTTTTTCTTTCTGGCCGGCCATTTAGTCTTCAGTGTGGAGCCAGCCAGCCAGCGAAGTAGGCAGTTGTTGATGAAAGCCTGCAGCCTGTTGGAAGTCTTTTTTTATGACACGCAATGCAAGTTTATAACCCGTATAGAAGAAATGACTTCACATTGGTGTTGAAAATGCGAATCTCGTTACTTATGCTGAGTGCGGAAGATCTCCAAACTGGTTTCAGGTTGATGAAAGCGTATCTTGCCTTACCCATTCTGACTGGCTTTGATATCTTTGTCCGTTCCAACTGCCTGTAGTTGAAACAAACTTCTAACAGTATCGATCACGTACACTGATAAAGAGTCTTAAGCTGATCATGACAAAACTATCCAGATCTCTTTGGCTTTTAATGACTCTATACTGAAGTTTTCGATTGGTGACATCGCGCGTCAATCCCTCGAGTGGAACCCGAAAGGGAAGCGGCGAGTGGGACGTCCAAGGGTGACTTGGAGGAGATTGTGTGAAGAGGAGTTGAAACAGTATTGACTAACAGTATTGTTCCACTAGGAACCCAAGGGAACAATAATAATAATAATATATTGAAATACGTGAAAACCACCACAAAACCCGAACTAAACAATTATCATCACTGAGTATATCTCATCTCAGTGACTTGACTGTCCTCAAAAAGGCAGTAGTTGGCAGTATATCTTCCACGAACATTTCACAGAGATTTATTCAATAATTTGCTGCTTTTTGTCGAGCAACAAATGGTTAGTTCTTAGTATAAATATGTAAGTTGAAATGAATAAATCGAAAGTAGACGAACAAGGATTTCGCTGCTTTAATCGATAATAAATGTTAACACTTCCTCCCTCTGTTAAATGAACATAAAATAAGTTCATTCCGTGTTCGATTCCTTATCTGACTGGCTAATTGATATCGTATCCTCTTCTATTCACGTTGTAAAACGGACCTGCCCTATCTTCTTCTCCCTTTCGATTTTTGGAATGGACACATAAGACTCTAGGCTTTGAAGTAGCCATATTGTATTTTTCTTTTATCAATGGTAGGATGTTCCTCAATCATGCTCCTCAACGGAAGTTCAATTCCTGCCCGACGCACCTATACACCTCATCTAGTCTTCAAGTCTCTGGTTAGCCCAGAAAAGAAGAGGGAAGCTGCATGTGAGGCTCACAGCACCTAACCTACTAGTAAAACAATCCTGGGTCACAATACAAAAAATGACTACTACTACAGAAACAGAAACATACCATCTGGACGTGAAATCCCTGGCAAGTACCAGTATTTTGATGTATCAACCACTTGACGCATTCCTGCTACATCACCGTCTACACCATCAACAACGACATTGGTACCAGACAAACTTCCGGCTGGAGAGACTAAAATTTAATGTAAAATTATTATTATCATTATTATTATTATTACTATCACTAACAGGACATTTCATACATCTAATATGTTTTTCTTTATTATATTCAAAAAATCTATAAAGTAACTCGTTTAAGTAGGTGTTTACAGTTCATTGAAAAAAAGTGTTCTAGTGGTATTACTGAATAGCTTGCCTAGAATGTTAACGATAGGCTTCACAGTTAAGTTAGTCTGCTTGCCGTATAGAACACTAATAAAATGGTGCGCTTATTATTTTCATCATTATAATTCCCTTGTGTTGCGATTGAAACATATGGCATTCTCCGCAGTCTTTCTTGGCCGATCCAACGACTGCCCAAAAGCTTTCACCTCTTCTTCTCCCTCTTTTTCGTATACTTCCTCTATTTCTCAACACTTAGGACCTACGTCGAATTTGTCTCTTACCATCCTGGTCTCATTACAGGGTTTGGCTCAGCATTTGATATTCGTTAAAAAGTGAATAGGGCAACTGTTGATGTAATGTCTTCAGCATACAGAAAATCTGACTTGACGCTGGTTTTGACAATCCCCATTGAATTCCTTATGCTGAGTACGAGAGAGATTTACATACTGGTATGAGATCAATGAAGATGAAACTTGCCTTTTCAATCTATATCTCGATACCCCTAGAGATAGGGTCATGATGAATACTGTGTTAAAATAAGAATCCTTTTGTATCTTAAGTTAACTTACAAAGGGGAAATTGCTGCTGACATTCTAAAATGTCGACTCAATAGAGCAGTAGAGAGAGAGAACATTTCCTGCAGCCAAACTGATACTCAACACTTCTCAACTGAACCAGTTCTACTCACAGAACGAGTCAAGGATAAATTACCAAACATGGTCCCATCGATATGTATCTATGAATTCAACTGCTCATGTGAAGCTAATTACACTGATTGTACTCAAAGGGGCTTTATCCATGAGAACACGTGAACATGTACCTGTATGATCGAATAAAAAGGTAACCAAGCGTGTAAGCAGTGCAATTTTAACCCACTTGGTCGATACTAAACACTGGATAAAAACAAGAGCAGGCGTTCTCGTTCACTTAACACATTCCTGATAATTTATCTAGAGGAGGAGCTAGACTATCAGCAGCTGAATGGTAGCAATCAATATCAGAAGGAGGGGCTGTTTGTATACGGTAAATGGATGTTCAGCTACTAGTTTTACCTTGGCCTGCAGTGTAAGGCCAACAAATCCCTCCATAAACATTAACACTTTAAATTCCTATCACAATTTTCTTCTCTTCATCTTCTATCTCTTTGTTCCATTGACAGACATTTATTTTTGACTTTTTTTATGACTTCATCACCTTTCTTATGATTTCTATTGCCATAGATTTAAAGAATACTTTTTTCTAACTTGTCATCATATTTACAAAATCCTGTTCATTCCAGTTCACTAGATTCATTATTATTCTTATTTGACAATCACTCACCAATAGTACCTTACGTTTACACCACATCATCGTTATTACTGTTTCACAGTCATTATTATTGTTGTTATTTTCATCCTTGAACTTACGTCTAGTCCACCTCTATCCGTTGGTTTATTTTTCTGTAGTATTCATAGTGTCTCACACACCATTGACTACATTCACCCTCGAAACATATATATATATATATATATATATATATATATATATATATATATATATATATATCAATCCGTGATCGACTTTTAAAAGAAACTGTCCTTACAAACCAACTAAAGAAAATTAATCTGATGTTCGCTAGTAACTTGCTGCAGTACAGTCAGAGTTTCCTGGAGTTCTATTGAAAAGCCGTGACCAGTGAGGTCCATCCAGATGTCAAGTGTCCCAGCAATGACATTGGTTGAGGCCAGTCGCGCTATACCACGAACTGATAGAAGTCAGAATTCATGAACCATTGAAAAGGGTCCCAGTGGCTGCTAAGTTACTTGTCGGTAGACGCTGTTAACCTCTGAAAAATGAGATACTATTTATCCGATTGGAATTTCCAAAACAACATCTGGATTAGCCTGTGTATTTAGAATCAACTTTCCAACCAGAAGTTAGTTAGTGGATGGTGAGTAGCAGCAATGGAATCCAGGATGCGCATTTCGTCCTATTTGCGAATTGTTATCTGGTTGCACCTGTGTTCCCCACTCAGTGAGTGATGATTTTTCCACCGAGGCTCGAACCCAGTGCCCATAGTTTCAAACACCAAGCGTTATCCACTAGACCACTGGGCCACGAGAGCCACTGCCTGTTGTGCCGGTGTCATATTATTGTTTATTCAATTTTTAGATTTTCCGTTGATTGATTCGACGAAGTGTTCGGTCTCAGATTTCACTGTTAGTCACCATCCACCAATGACTTCAATTCACATGACCAGACATCGTCGAAGCATCTGAACAAGAAGCCGACATGTCGACCTGAGACCAAGCACTTTGATTCAATTAATCGAAGGGGAAATTTAAAATTAAATTAAATGATATTCTGACCACAGCAGTCTTCATCAAATGGTTGGGTTTGCTCATGATATTGACCAAAACAGGGTATACTAACTAGAAATATTCTTCCTAAAGAGTGTGGTAGATGGACTTAAAACAACTGGATGCAATCACATTGTCATAATTAACCCATTTCGAGGAGGTGGAGTCTCACTAAAGTTTCTCTTGAAGACCAAATTATTCCAATAGCAATGTGTTATACATTGATAGAGCAAGTGTCAATCAAGAAAGCAAGGATAACTGAATGACACTATATATACTACTGATTGAATGGAATGAGCAGTTGTGTAATACTCATTTCAAACAGTAGTAGTGTTTACTAACTGACCGGGTCGAAGTGATCTAAATTCACACAACTTTATAACTTCGTTTATATAATTCCATCAATATTTTTCATCTCTTGATTTGATTTCGGGTATGATTGGTGAGTCATTCTACTGCATATGTTGAGTGTAGACTCGATGAACAAGAATCCAACAAGAATCAACCTCTCTCTCCACTTGCCTAGATTACCTTTTAGAATTTTAAGCCTCTCCCACCTATTGTGTGGTGGTGTGTTCATGTATGCAGCCCCGTTGCAGAGCTTTTTGAGAAATTACTTATCTTTGTGGGTGGGTCAACCATTCTTACCTTTAAAACAAGCAATAAAGGTTAATAAAGCAGGATGATTTAATGAATTCATCAAATTTCGGTAGACCCTTCCTCCGCTGAATACTCTACATACACGGATATATATACTTTTGAAATTACATTGGGAAATATAAGTAAACAAACTACATTGAATTAGTCATGCAGAATGAGGACAGGTGCGGATGTTTTCCAGGTCGTGTTTAAATAGATAAGGGGAGAGAGTATGAGAGATCAAAATTAAGATAAATTGCATTACGCTTCAATTACATCACTTAGATAAGCGATTGGTCATTAGAGAATATAACAAGAATTGCAAACAGACTAATATCAATAGTAATAGTTATAGTAACAATAATAATAGTAGTGTTGAAGTGAGTTAAGATAATCTTACTGATAAAGGATAGTTTTAGATGAATCAAGAATGATAATAACAATAACAATAAGAAAAAGAGGTAGAATAGTAGTAATAACAAGTAGAGAATAATAAGTAAAACGTATTACCATGGTAGATTCAGAGTGACGACCATCTCCTTTTGTATACAGAGAGCTGGTTTATAAATTCAAATTGCACAAGCCTCTGCAATTGCAAGCATCTTCTTGTTTCTTTGTTTGCTGGCGATAGTGAATGACTTGACAGCGTCGATATCATGTCCGTAATCCACGAGATGTTTTGTTATTGAGGATTTTGGCACTTTGCACTCAGCTGTTTTCAACCATTTTGGCAAATGCTCCGTAATACGAGTAGACAATCGCCTTTCCGTACGACCTATGTATTTGCTGCCACAAACACACTCAAATTGATGTATGCAGTTTGAAGTGTCGAGGATCGGCGACTGGTCTATCCCAGATTGTTGAAGCACTCGCTTAGTGGTGTCAAGTTAAATAAGTTTTGCAGCATAATAAGTTCTCTTGATGGCTTTATCGAGTCTTCGTTTGACTACTTCATGTACATCATCTCCATTGAACGGCGAATTGTATAGACAGGTTTCTTTGGAACTGTTCGAATTGTTTTGCAGGGGGTAGTTTCCTTAGAGTATTTATTAATGAACTTGTCAGGATATTTATTCTTAGATAAAATATCCTTCAGAGATTTTATTTCATGTTCAATAGTACTGTCAGAACAAATTTTTCATGCTCTTTTGGACAATGTTCTGACTAGGTTCTTTTTACCTTCACTAGATTCTCTTGTTCGGACAATATAACTACTATCATCCGACTAGTTTGACCTATGTAATTGACCTTACTCACAGTCATTGCAGGGTATTTTGTAAATTATTTATTTTGTCTAACTGGGTCAACCCACCAGGCCCTTTTTAACCAAAAGAGTTTGTCCTGCCTGAGTGAGCTTGTAGGTTGAATGCCAGCCCAATTCCTGCTTTATTTAGAATCCTACGTAGTATCTCAGATGTCTCCTCTTTATATGGTAAAACTGTAGATGCCTTATATTCTCTCCTATTTATGTTATCATTATTAGTTTCACTATTATTTTTATTTTGCTGTTAACGTCTTTTGATATTTCTAATGAATTTTGTAGGATGATTATTCGATGCCAAAGCTTCTTCTATCCTTTTTATTTCATCATTTAGGTATTATAAACGCGTTTATAAAAAAAAAATCAAAGCATTCACATGCAATAGGAATGACTAATCACTTATACCGGAAATATGGAAAATACTACTACCAATCATCAAGTCAAGCGATGGAAAATAATGATGGAATTATATAGACGAAGTTAGAAAGTTGTGTAGGTAGTGCCTTGATATGATTAGGAGTAGTGATAAATCGTGCTCAAAACATTGTCAGTAAACAGTAAACATTACTGTATAACACCTCTGTGAGACTTTGATCAGATAAATTTTACCCATAATAGAGTTATACTCTGTACCTCCACAGTGTACAAGTTTTATTCTTCTGCGAAGTGATCTAAACACTTGATCAACGTTCTGCTAATTTAGGGCTAAGCTCATCAGTACTGTATCCAGTTTGACGAAGACCAGTTAGACAAATGGGTTTTGTACCCACCGATCTATGGCTAACCACATGGGCCTACCGTTAATACGTCCAATCAAGTTTTCACTTGATCCGCAAATCCGATCACTTCAGTTCCTTTAGCTGTTCTATTCTGCAATACAACGAGACTGAAATATGTATGTCCAGTTGAATACAGATGCGCTGATCAGGAATACTGCCGCTTGACCATGCGAAACAATATTATACAACAGCCCGCCCATTGAATCATCAATGTGCACTACATAGGGGAAATCACACAACGACGTCAGCTGCTAAGTATATCAACGCAATAATGCATGATTCAGAATGTCATCAAGGAAATGTCAATTGGTCTATAATCATGATCAACAAAATATTAGACGTTCTTTGGTGTGGGCCGAATTCTGATTGCATATTAGTGTGTCTATGAGGTGCATCATACAATCAGTGAAACAGTATTATTTACTGGATGACAAGGTTTCGAACAAAATTTATTGCTGTTCATAATCATTTCATCAATTATAATCACACAACTTCGAAACTTGAGTTTTACAGTTTCCTTTGTCGTCTCCTGTTTGTTGTCGTAGTAGGGGTAGTAGAATTTTCCAGATGTCCAGGTGGACAGGTGTTGAATCATTCCTATTACATGTATTCCCTATCAGATAACTCGATAAACAAAGCCTCCGTTATCAATCTTTCCCTCTACCCCGTTATTGCATTAGATTTTAAAACTGTCATCTAATCTCATCATCCTATGCTGTATGGTTGTGTGTAACTGCATGCAGCGAGTGCTATAGTTGAACTATTCTCCAGATTTCTTATCTTATTCGGGTCAACTAATCTAGATTTTGCTAGATTTTTATGGTCAGCTAGTCTGACTGACTGCACCTGTTCTACCACTTTGGCCTATGCGCTATTTGACCTGACAATCATTCCAGGCAGGGTATTAGATAAACTAAATTGTTCTGTTCAATTGGCTCCACAGCACTGTTCATTTAACCGACAAAGCTTGTTTATAAGTGAGTTTATGGGAAGTTTGAATGTTAGCCACTTTTACTCTTGCCTTGTTAAGAATTCTTCGTAAGGTTTGCGAGGTTCTCTCTTTGTACGGAAGTACTACTGATGATTCGGATTCCTTATTGTTGGTGCTGTCGTTATTCTGCTCATGTTTGATATGCATATCGTCACTAATATTACTATTATTATTATTATCACTATCACTACTATTATTATTTATTTAATTTATAAGGGCAAATATTAAGTTTGAAAGCTTCTCTGATTGGTTTATTTCCAGACTGGATAGCAACCGCTATAACATTAACAAGCGCTACTGCTTGATATGACTAGTGTCCATCTACTCATGTCAATCAGTTAGTAGTATATAACCTTGAAAAAAGTTAGCCTAATAATACATATGAAAGATACTGTGATGAAGCGAATGGTCGAGTTCACAACCTTAATGCTGGCTGCTTGTATAAATGTTACAATACTCAAGTATACCTTTCCGGTTCATAGCGAGCCGTATTTTACAAAGGCTGACCTCCCAATAGTTAGAGGAAGGCTTCTATTAGATGGGAATAAGTTGCAAAGTTTTTCATACAGTCGACAGGGGGGGGTTAGAATCATCCGAACTTCTAAACTTTCATAGTGTAAAAAGAAAGCGACACTAAACCACATGGCTTATAGATAAGTCAATGGCGGAAATGAACCATACCTTATTGTATGACAGCCATTATACCAAGCATATGTTTTATTCACATGCGACTAGAAATCAGTTTTTATAAGATCAACTACCAAAAGCTCCATGGAGTTGTATTTCATACCAGATCGGATGATACGAAGTCTTGACCAGTGGGGGTACAGCAGGTCGAGTGTGAGAGCAAATACTCGTCAGCTATAACACTGGCTAGTGCCAGTCTTGCTAAATTGTGAATTGGCACGAGTAGGAATTCCTGGGCTGGTCAGTGAATTGGGTTCAGTGGCTCGCTAGCCTTGTAATCAGAAGGTTCTGAGTTGGAACCCAGGTGGTGGGTGCGTACCGATGGAGATTTCCAAACTAGGCTAGCAAAACTGGTGTTTTTCCAATGGATCTCTAAACTTTATCAGCTCATCATGAAATCCTCAAAAAAAATCAAATCCCTGGAAACCACCCTTTCGCAAATTATAATTATAATAAGATTCTCTATCTAATTGTGTCTATAAAATAAAATGCTTGGAATGCCATGCGATCTACATCTGAAAAATATCTCGAGAAATCAAAATGAGAAGAAATGAACACCGTAGAGCATCTGTTCGATCACCGAAAAATCCGGTTGAACTAGAAATGCTTGAAAAATCATCAGCCACAGCTCGTCTACAAGCAATAGAATCAGACCACAAAATCGATTTTGACAATGTTGAAATAATCCAGAAAAAGCATTCAGAAATCTCAAAGAACATCTCATATCAGAAGCACTTTATATCAAGTGGAATCCAACTTGTCTGAATAGAGATGATGGACTAAAACAGAATCTGACCTGGTTACAACACCTCTCTCGCCTCCCCATGAAGTGACAAAATCAACACGAATGTGATAAGCAAGTTCACTATGTAAACACACTACTCTCGTAATTCTACACACTGATAAAATCCAACAATCTACACTTGATTTTGTTATCTTTACCAATTCACCAACTCGACAACGGAAAACGACCCCAGACAGACGAACGATGATCAAGTTAGTAAACTTTATTTTGATATCATAACAGACGTACTATTACTTTGTTATTTGGTTTAGTGGTCTTTATTACTATTTTGACTTTCAATATGTCCTTTTAACTTGTCCTAAGTAGTCTATTTTCTCACCCTTTAACTCTTTGTTATATATATGCTGAGATTTTGTAAATTCTGGTTTAGTAATACCACTTTGATAAAGGTGTTAGCATAAAATAGCGAAACGTCAGTGAAAACAATATCGTTTAGTTATTCATTCATTGGGAAATACAAAAAAACCTTTATTATAATGAATATCATATACCCGATGCCCAAATTTTTTCAAACCGTTAAAAGTGAACTTGGTTTGGACATATATAATATTATTAATGTTATAATTATTAAAAACCGTCAAAAACTGTGAATGCAAGTGGCGGAGATGCTCTTTTATGAGAACAAAAAAACGACACCAAAAAGTTGTTGTATAACTTACAGGCAGTTGTAGTCTTCCAGTTATTCTCAGATTGTTGAACGACTGAACGACTACCAACTGGTGTTGCCTCATAATGCGAATTCGGTCCAAATGCTCCACTTCAAAATGTGTTTATAAAAGGGGAAATGTTGAAAAACCAAGAAATAATTCTCAATTTCGTTTAAGCAACAATCGATATTAATTTGATGAAAACAATATGCTGTTTGCTTGAAAATATTTATAGAATGCCGAACTTAGGATGCAGAATGGCTGTCTTACTTATTGTAACTTTGAATCACCTGAGAAATTTACTTCGATAATGGTTGAAAAAAGTTCACCGCTTCAAGCATGAGGCTTTGAAGTGTCAGTAGCGCTGTTGTTGTGCTTTTTTTGTGAGTGAGGGAACAATGGCCTCAGACTGAATCTTCCCTGTTCTACCAGGCTTGACAGTTAGGCCAAGCTTAGAAGTGAGTTGACCGGAAATCGAACCCTCGACCACGTATATAGTTGGGGAGCATTGCATCTTTGAAACACTGACACATCGTAAACTTACTTAGCTATGATCTAATTGCTATCCAAATTATTGTTTCAAGACATAACTAAATACACTGACATGCTTAGAGAAGTTTGAAACTTAAACAGTCAGTACTCGAGTATTATAACCGAAGATAAAATAGATGTGTGGCTTGTCCGATGTCACAGTTGAATGTCTCTTGAGGGTATATCTAAGTCCTGTCGGATTCCTTCTGCATAACTGTTGGTGAATAAGTTTACTGGCTGACTAACTGCCAGAATTCTTTGAGGCTTATCCTTATTGTTTGGTTATTTGATTTTCATCATCATCGGACAAAGGCAGCTGTTGGGAATGCTTTCGGAGGCAGGCGTTCACTGCTTTCAGATCCATGTGGAGATCCCCAAAACTTAAGACAATTTTTGATTGGATACTAGTCAGTAACTAATGTAATGTGTCTAGTCCTATCTTCAGTGCAGACTGGATTCTATCAGTCAAGTTTGCAATTTGGCCACCATGCCTCTTGGTGGCTCGCCATCCGGTGCACTGTGAATTGTTGGATAGGACTTTGCACATTACACTAAATACTGACTAGTGCCTAATCAGAAATATCCGATACAATCCTACAGGAAGTCAATCATTAGTTAGCTCAGTAGTTTCGTCTCTGACCCACTGCAGCACTGATTAACGCTGGTCCGAATCTCAGAAGGGATATCAGTTCATTCAAGGTGATTGCGGATACGCCTGCCTTGCTGACTGATTGGTGAGTGCCAACTAGCACGAAACCTAAGTCAGCTAGGGTTTCCTGTGGCCGATCGCTTCCAAACATCTAATACCGGCAGTTCAAAGTGCACCATGATGGCAAGCTACCTAGAAGCATGGTGGCCACATTGCAAACTTGACTGACTGACAGAATTCAGTCTGCAGTGAAGATAGGACAAGACACATTACACTAGTCACTGACTAGTGTCCACACAAAAGTTGTCTCAAGTGTTGGGGGTCTTTACATTGATCTGGAAGCAGTGAACGCTTGCCTTGCATCTATGTCTGTCTGTCTCTCTGGCCCTGACATTTTCATCTACACCGCCGTCTGTGGCTGAAAAGATGCTACTCAGTGTTAGTGAAACCTGTGACTTGTTTGACATTTCTCATTTAGACTTCTTCATCACGCCTATCTTGACTCATGTTCACCTCAAGTCCTGTCGTCGCTGCCTGACTCTTCTACCAACTTGTTAGCTTTCGAGTTTATATGACATTAGACATAAATCATGTGTGAAGTCCAGATCTTCTAAAGTCTTCTTATCTCTCCAACATATGCCTGCCTTCTCCCTGCTCAAGATCAGGAACATAATCAACAATAGCAGGCAGCAGTCTTGTCCTTCACATTCCCAGTGGAACAAAGGACGCCTTCAATCTAGAGTTCTGAAGTTTCTGCAGAAATGGTGATTATTTTTTTTTTACAGGATGAGATTGCTAACCAGCCTCATACCCCTCATCCTTTGCACTTTACCAGTCCTATTGTTGGCTTAGGGAGGTAAAGGAGTTCGTCAGTGGCCGAGGATCAAACATTGAACCACATGCGGCGTGGTTGGCCAGCATTAAACCTCTGTGCCACCGACTTATTCATACAGTAATTGGTATTTAAAGGATCGCTGCTTAACCCTCAAAAATATTACTATATCACAAATAAGTGACATGAATATTTATAAAACTATTTCTTTCTAAAGACGCACGCACGCACACACATACACAGAGCACAGCACAGTACAGCACGGCACATAGGACTGCATAGCAGAAACATCATCAAGTGTGCAATTGCACCCTTCAAAAAATAAAGAAACAAAAATTCAACAGATCATCAGATCATTGAAAAAATATATTTGAGTGAATAGAGAGAGAACTAATTTCAAGAATCCCTATATGTACTATGCCTCACTTGTCATGCTTAAATTTTCAATCATCATCATTTTTTGAGGGAGGTTGGGGTTGGGGTGAATGGGAGGTGGTGAAGGATGACATAATTATACCTCTTTTTTTAAAAGTAAATAAATAAATTAAAGAATTTCTATTTCTATCACATTCAGTCAATCAGAAGATCTTGTCAGTTAGACTATTTTAAAAGAATAATGAATGACAAATAGTATCTAGTTTTTGGTGACATTTTCTTGATTTCACGTTGTTTTATACTAATAACTAGTTCAATGTGAATAGGTAGATAAGGCACTGGTGTTGAAAACGATGAGTGTTTTGATTCAAAACAATCTAAGTAGTGAACTTCATTACCTTGAGATGAAAGCAGATCTGGCAAGTATTGGTTTTGTAGAGATTTTCTTTATTTTAACTGCATGGAGGATTTCATCATGAGCTGACATCAGTTAGAGAACCCCTGGAAAACCAGCCACAGGGAGTACTGGACAGCTGTTTCGTCAGCCCGGTTTGGGACTCTTCAGCAGTACGCCCTGTTCAGACAGTTAACCTGGAGTTTTAGTGGGAAGTCGTGACCAGTAGGGTACAGTAGGTTGACGATGAGGCAATAATTCATCGAAGAAGACTATGCGAAATGGTCGCGCTATGTCATGAATTGGCAGAATTTAGAATTCAAGGACCATTGGATCGGGTTCGAGTGGCTTAATGGTCTACGAGGTTGCCTTGTAACCATAAGGTCCTGGGTTCGAACCGTGGCAGCGTGTGCGCATTGCTGAAGAGTTCCAAACTAGGACGAAACAGCTGTCCAGTACTCATATGTTTTCCAGTGGTTCTCTAACTAATGTCAGCTCATGATGAAATCCCCAATGAAAGCAGATTTATCCATATGAGTATAATAGTCATTTCATCTGCAGTCAAACCTCTGTTTCAAGTTCATTCACTTCGAATAAGCCTACCCACAGACAGCGTTGACCGAGAAGTAATTTGGAAACTACTTCAATACTGTGGAGTTTAGTACCTCAGATCTTTATCAACCACATTCAATGGCTAGTTCTGTGACAGTGCCAGAATGTGCCAGGTGATCCACAATGGAAAACTCCAGGAGGTGTTTGAAGTGAACGTAGACGTAAGACAAGCTGGCTGCCTATTATCACCGATAATATCCTTAACTGTGGTGGACCGGAGTATGCGGAGTACTGTGAACAGGGAGTGATAAGACAGTAATGCTGATAATATTAGATAGTTTCGTTTTAGCTGGCACTCATTAGTCAATAAGGTAGGCGTATCTACAATCGCCTTGAAGGAACACATGTCCTTTCTGAGATTCGAACCCACACTACGCAATGCTGCCTGTAGTCAGAGACGTTACCACCTAATATCATCAACCATCTAAAGTCATCAAATCAATGTGCACCGTGATGGTTAACTACCTAGAATGGTGACCACATTGAAAACCTGACTGACGGATGGAATTCAGTCTGCACAGAAGATAGGACTTGACACATCGCTCTAGTTACTGAATAGTGTCCAGCCAAATACAGAAGTACTCTTGACAGACCGATGAAAAAAACTCTATAAAGATTTGAATTTCGCGTGTGGACGATTTATGTTAAATATCATTCGCGAAAACTGGAAGACCTTTAGGCGAAAACCAACAAAGGGGTAGAAGAATCAGACAGCGAAGTCAGGACTCCAGGTGATGAACATAGAGAAGATGGAGGTGTTAAAGATACCCATATACCAACAACAAAAAGAACAACAACAAACAGCACTATGGAGTACGTAACAATGTGGTTGTACACTTTTTGTTACTTGTAGAAATTAGAGACATTGTACATGATTTTTGTTTAAAACGATTCTTGTTAAAATATATATACTTAACTTCCCTTACCATTGGAAATACACTTTACTGTTGGGAACTTCGCCTTCTCTCTGGCCGCTACTGCTTACTCGCTTCACTCACACCGTGTTGTAAACTTTGGATTTATTGTAGTAGTCTACTATCTTCCTCCGAAGATAATTCTACAACCAGCACACAGCATCTACAGCAGAGGCTATTCCAACAGTGAACGCTCCCGTGGATTATATAAATAATTTGTAGCAGAGGACTTAAACTTTATATCCAAGTAATCCTTTTTATTAATATAACTGGTTACTGTATTTTTTTTTGATAATATATTGTTACTCAACATCTCATTGACTTGGATTATTATTCTCATATTTGTAATGTTGATGAGCTCTCATAACAATCCCCTACAGCACTAATCATTCATTATCAAAGGAAAACATTTCACTGAGGTTACTTCCTTCACTTATCTGAACAGGAAACACGATTTCAAACGCAGGCAGTCTGAATGGATAAAGGTGTCAAGATCAGTCAGCCAGAATCGGAAAAGGTAAGAAAAGCCTTCATCAGTTTGAAATCGGTTTGGAAATTGTCTGCACTGCATTCAACTAGCATAAACAACAATATTCGAATTCTGTTCAACACAAATGTGAAGTAAGTCAGTAAGTGGCTTCTATATGGGTCAGAAACTTGGCCAGCGTGTCCGAGGAAAGCAATTCTGAAAAGTTGCAGACTTTCGTCAACAGCTGCCCATTTCGCTGTCTGGCTCCATACTGAAGATCAAATGGTCGGTCAGAAAGAACAAGCAACAAGAAATTTAGGGTAACAAACCAACAGGCAAGAGCCGATAGATCAACAAATATGTAGGAGACAGTGGAGATGGATTGATCGGGCATGCATTGAGGAGACTATCGAATGACATAGCACGCCAGGTCATAGCTCGAACGGAATCCGAATGGGAAACGAGGAGTTGTGTGTGTGGGTCCACAGGTAACATGGAAGAGATCGTGCGAGGAGGAGGTGAAGAAGGAGATGAGGGACTATGTGCAATCGCCAGCTCAGCTAAAGAGGGACGTAAAAAATTTGACATAGTGGAAATGTACTGTTGTAGCCTCGTGTTTCACCCGGAACTCAGGGAACAATAATAGTAGTAATAAACTTAATTGAAAAGGCAATGCTCTTTTAGTGACTATATATATATATATATATATATATATATATATATATATATATATATATATATATATATAAGAAATCTATAACCCAGGTGGGTGGTTCTGATATGGATGAGTGGATGACTTTATTTCAAAGGTTTCATCGTCCGTCTAGACAACACCGCTTCAGCGTAAACTTCAGTATGAAGTGAATTTATTCAAAATTCTCCATGAATGATATGAATGTATCTACTGATAACTTTTGTTGTGATCATTTGTTAACTTGTATTGTGGTGAGAGCAGGCCGTGAGAAAATATGAGCAAGGCTGATTCAACAACCAATCACAGCAAAGTTAACGTGGCAAAATATGATTCGCAGATAGAGAACTCTATTTGTCGAGGAATCCCGAAACAACCAATCAGAAGTCTGCGTTTGTCTGCCTAACTTCTGATAAACAACCAATCAGATGACTGCGCTTGTCTACTTGCATAAGCTATAATAATGTATGTGAAATATGTATAAATGCGTGTTGATTTTCATAATAAAACGATCTGTTGCTTCGCCCTTGTCTTCTTTTGTTACAGTATAACTACTCATCATTTTTATTGGCTTCAATTCCGACTCTTTTTTTTTGTAATATGTAATGTTATCTTCATAAATGTGTGTATGTGTGTGTTAATCGCTGATTATTCATGTAAGTCATAGGCCTCTAGGACTACCCCAGCATTATTTAGTATTTGGGAAAATTGCACTGGAAAGCACACGAAACCTGTTGCATGATTTTGTTAACTATTTCAATTTTATTCAAGTGTTGGTTTGTAGGGATTTGATTGGTTTCAGGATTTCATCATGAGCTGACATTAGTTAGAGAACCATTGGAAAACCTGCATGGAGTACTGGACAGCTGTTTCGTCCTAGTTTGGGACTCTTCACTGTATGTTTTGAGATGAGCAATTATACCCCGCAAAAAGAAACACAATTACTTCAAGTATTGCTTTGTAGGGTTTTTTGTTTGATCGGTTGGAAGATTTCACCAGAAGCTGACATCATTTAGAGAAGCATTCAAAAACTTGTGGGGAGTACTAGACATCTGTTTCCGTTGTACTAGTTAGGGACTCTTCAGCAGTACGCACCCACTAAAGGGATTCGATCTCAATACCTTCTGGTTACAAGACGAGCTCGTAGACCTTTAAGCTACTGTGACACGATTCAGTGGCCCATAAATTCTAACTTCTGCCATTGAATCGGGTCCCGGTAGCTTAATGGTCTACGAGCTCGCTTACCTTGTAAACAGAATGTCGTGGGTTTGAACCCCTGTGGCGGGGGTGTACTGCTGAAGACTCCCTAACTAGTACAACAGAAACAGATGTCCAGTACTCCCAGGTAGTTTTCCAGTAATTCTCTAACTGATGTCAACATTATGATGAAATCTTCCAACCTTTTCTCAGCTTTATTTTGCCTAAACTTTAACTTTCTGTGTATATCAGTGTAATATCTGAGCGGTGTTCATCATGTTGGCAGCCCAGTTTTTAACCTACATCATGTGACTTTTGCGAATGCATTGAAATTATTCAGTGTATATAAACTTAATTAATTCTCTGCGTTGTATACATATCTGATGAGAAATCGATAAAATAAACGATTGCACCATCTCATTCAGCACACACGCACACACCCCACCCCCAGAAACTGCTGTTTTCACATTTATAAAGGAGAATAAGTGTGTGTTAAGTTTCTTGCATTTTAATAAGCGTGTTGCTTGCTTCCCTGTGAAAATAAATTCACTTCATAATGTTTGCTTTGTATTCAATGATTCAGTGATAGAAAACTCACCAGTTAATCATGTGCGCGAGGGTTCAATTCCCGGCAGTTGCATTTATGAATCTCACACAGTTTAAAAGATGACAATAAGCCTAGGAAAGTAGGAACTGTTAGCCGTAATGTCATGATTGGTTACTCATACATGGTTTAGACTTCCTTTCATATGAAATGGAATTTACAATGTATTGTGAATAATAAATTTGTGTGCTGTTGGTGTTGTCGTGGTTGTTTCAGTGTTATTTCCGACTTCGGTGTGTCTACCTCAATGTGGGGAAAAATGTTTCTGAATGATAACCAGCTGTCTGAAGGCGTGTTAGACAACAACTAACAAATCACTAACACTCCATTACAACAGGAAGGTTAGATGGAAGTCCAGCAATCCTACAGCGTAAAATGAGATAGTACCACAGCTACTGAAACTTCATAGCTTGTAGCCCTAAGGATGTGGTGAGAGCTGGCTGTTAGTCGAAATTGGTGGACAGTAATTCACGTCAATGCTTATGTCTCCAATATTGGTCGTGAGGAAAATGAGAATAAAGACTTTGCGTAGGCGGATACAGTTAACATATAGATGATGTGACATTCAAGAAACAGTCAGAAAGAGATGCAAGGTTAACTTTCTGTAAGAAACAACCAATCAGAAGACTGTGTTTTACTGCTAACAATAATCTATAATAATGTACATGAAAATCTATAAATATGTGTTGACTTCCTTAATAAATGATCTGTTTGGCTCGCTGGCCCTTGTCTTCTGTTGTTACAAGAACACAAAGGAATAAAAGAAGAGTGAAATATTCGGGTAACACAAAGTATCCTGGAAAAAACCAGTACAGTTTCGTAGAAGAGAATAGGTCTCCTCTGTTTAGGTGTCATAATTTTTTTTTGGCAATTTTCAGTAAAATGGATGTTTACCACTTTGAAGGGATGTATTTTTCTCTCTCAGATACTCAAGTGTCAGTAACTTACTTTTCTGAATTCTGAAACATTATCCACATAGGTAGAACATAAGTTATAGGTGATCCTTAGCTTATGTCTTCATTTCGAAGCGTCAACAAAAGCAAAATCTATCCCCAAAGCTGTCTAATAACAGTTGACATATAATATCGTATGTATTTTTAGGAGGGGAGCATTACTGGGTTCTGCTTAAAAAATCAAACCTACTCTGCAACTGATATTCATCTTACAAGGTGTGCCTTCATTTGTTCAACATTTGTGGGTGCGTGTGTCTGTGTAGTCTTTTGATATTTGAAGTATTCAACTATAGATTACTGCTTCAAATGAGCGAGGCTGATGAGTCTCAGCTGGTGCGAAACATGCAACTCAGATCTCTCTCCTAGTCACTGGTAATTTAGTGTAACGGTAGAATTACAGAATAAAGTATTTACGAGTTGATCACAGATTGATATCAGTCAGAGAACCATTGAAAGCTACCACCAGGAACAGCTGTTTCCTCCAAGGTTTGGAATCATAGGCAGTACGCACCCATCACCAGGGTTCGAACCCGCGACCTTCTTTTTACAAGGTTAGCTAGCCCATATACCACTCAGCCACTGGGATCCAATTCGATGGCTATCCCATGAATTACAACTTCTACCAATTCGTGATTTAACGCAACCTCAGCCAACTCGTGAAAGCAAAACTAACCCTTACAAACTAAGTATAGAAAAGCAAAGTATGCCAAGTCATCACTAGGGACTTAAACTTTACTATCGTAGTTCTTGTAATATGTTTTATCATTTTGAGAAGACGTCTTCCTACCAGTAAACTCCAAAGTCATGACAAATACAAAAATAGCGTTTACTTACAGATATGGTGATTGAGGTCCAGATGCGTGTAATTCACGATGATAATTAGTTGTTGCAATTGTACGAAAACCATCTTGATGATCCCATCCACCAGGAGCATATGATCGATTGGCTGTGTTAACAAAATATTACATTATGATAAATAATATAATATAAAATGGCATAAATTATCAGTGAAATTACTTACGCTATAAGAACCCCTATTACAAACGAATATTCTACGCAAAGAATTTATTTTATTTCAATTTTTTTTTGAATATTTACGTTCTGATTGTTTGTATACCATTCACCGTTAATTATACCACTGTTACTGATTGGTCTTCTCACGTTCAACTTCCAGTTACTGAGTAACGCATTCTAAGCTGACTTCACCTACCAAGGTATGATCAACCAGGGAATATCACCAGACCTTAGTTGTCGAGCAACAGCGTCGATAGTTTAGGGTTAGAATGTTTCCCGGCCATATCCATGGCTCAGGCTGCGAACTCCCTGACCTTGTTCAGATGATAGTAAGCTCACAAAACAGGGAACACTGGGAGTAAGACTAAGCAACATCACCTGTAAAAGCCAACATAAATGCAGTGGAAATCTCAAAGAATAAATCTTGAAGCTAGACGAGCCATTTGGATTGTAGATCTTTACACAGGTTTCGTTGACTCACCGAAGCTCATCAACGTGATACACATTCAAATTCAGTAAAACTAAAATTGAACTACTCTGATTAGTCGATCATGATTATATCAAGACATTAAGTGTTTAGCAGTGAGTGAGTGAGTGACTCATTGGATTAGGCCATCGACATTGCATCCACTGGATCATAGAATCCAGATGCTGGTAAGCACCAGCTAAACTTCTTTCCGAAATGCAGTAAAGACAGTTAATTCTAAAGAGAAAATCAAATTGTGACAATATATACGTGTAGGCTGAATTCACAATTTTGCGAATTAATTCGCAATTTGTAGATTACATGTTTTGAGCGGGTGAAATCTCAGTATAGTTCACTTCGGAAAGTGCAATTATCTACATCACAAGACATGTGATCGCCTTGATACCATAAATGGTGGTAATCAAGAAAGCGGGCGCATATTTGCATAAAACTATCCACATACTTCTATGGCAAGATTTTACTTCCGCGAATTGTATAAATTGCAAATTTTTAAAAAAATCAACTTGATTTATACTGTTATTAGGTTGGTGTGGTAACTAACCAGAAATTAGGTGATTTGATCTGACTTGGCTCTTACTGATGAACTGTTACCCCCTCCTACCCTCTATCAAGCGAAATGACTGCCCGGTATGTACATCACACTGCGATCTTACTGACTGGCTAGAAAACATGACTGGTTAAGTCGTGAGCAGTGGTATACGACTACTCATCTCAACCAAATGATGAACAAAGTAGTCGCGAATAAGTAGGCACCTCAAAATGTACTGTAACGCTATATACTTTAGGCTGATGAATTCAGAACAGCATGAAGTACAACACTGGTGATTGCATAGATAGTCGTACACTACTAATTAAAATTATTAGTAATCATGAAAATAAGAAAAAGACGTGAACAGTATGGAAGAAAATTTTTTCTCCCTTCTCGACGATTCGTTTTCATAAGCTGCTGCTGTACAATGGGAATCATATTTAATAAAGAATTTATCAGACTACTCAAATACTGGCAAAGTTTGTTCTCGATAAACGTATTACGCAATGCAAGGTGTAGTCTAGAAGGAGTGACCAACTGTCAATTTGCAAAATGTTGTAAAAGTTAGGATGACGTAATAAGTGTGAGAAAAATGCCTCATCAACAGTCAAGCAGCCATCTTACGCATCTCATTCTCCAAGTAGACAATTTATCAAGTCCCCTTAACGTTAAGGGGATAAGATACCGCCGCCTTTGGCCACCTTAATGCGCATTTATCAGCTAACTTGTTTGTTCGTGTGGAGCAAAGTAGTATATCAGTTGTACACAACGTCAAGTCGGTAAACTTATTCTAGAAAACACTGTCCAGCTTGGCTAGCAAGCCAGAGGAGAAAAGAAGAATACTGGCAACTCTGTCCTGTACCACCTTGTCAACTCTGAACATCAAGCACCACCATCCTGCATGAATACTTTACAGTGCTACACAAAGCCTCTAAATATCGTTTGAAAGGAGTTAGAATATGCGATGTGTGCATAACTGAATCACCAGCTATTTAGGATTTGAACTAGAACCTCTGGATTCAAAAGCGCTACACATATTCACTCGCCCTACCGTGGCTACAGTAAAGTTCTTACTATAATTTTGCTTCTTTGTATTACATAAGTTTACTATCGCTATTATTATTATTATTATTATTATTAGAATCATCCATATTTTATTACCACCCTATTACTGTTTATTAATAACATTGCGTTTTCATACATAATTTTGGCCCTTGTTATTTCCCCCTTATACTCTCTTATTTGTACTCTATAGTGAACAACCTTCTTAAACATACTTAGCTGCTTAAAATTAATTATCATTGGCTTACGTTTTTTGTACTTTACTCTATTCCTTCTTTTGTCTATCTACTGGGTCCGACTATATTATCACTATGATTATTAAAAAATTGTCCTGTCATTAACCATCATGTAATATTAGTTTTGTGGTTGTTCTTTGTTCGGCACTATTTAACTGACAATCTTGTTTGTGAACGCCACTATCACCATCTTAAAAAATTTTGTATTATGCATCATTACTAACATTACCACAACTAACACTGCATTAGTGCTGACAATAAAAAAAACACAACCTGAAATGTTTATTTTATGATTGTTTAGTGTTGTTCAATCAAATTAGGTGATCATCTTAGCTATTAACATTCTTAAGAACATCTCATAATTTCCTGTGTGATCATAGCTGTTACTGTTCACCACGCATACACATATCATAGCTTCCATAACCCAGTACTGAAATATTTTTTTCGCTATTAGTGTTTATCTTCCTTTCTACTTGGTATTTTTTCTTCGCATTTTTTTCTTTTCTTTTGTTTTTTTTCTTTGTTATTTCTGAGTTTCGTTTTTTTGGTTTATTTTTGTCGTGTTTTTGTTTTATTTTTTTTATTTATTATTAATTTTTTTTTTGGAATTCTCCTTTTTAATGTACGATGAAATTAGATGCAATATTGTAGATATGTGCTGAAAATTTCACACTGTACCACAAGTACTGTTACTGGAATAAAGCGAAATTGTTATTGTTATTATTGTTTATGTAAAAACACTTTTTCGTCTTTTCACTAATTCTTGTCCACTGTGAAAAATTATATTAATCAGTCATTATCTCACACTTATAAAGTTATCCCAACTTCTGCACACCTCACATTATGTAATACATATTTTCGAGGAAAAATTTTATCAGCACTTGATTGATAAATGCCTACTGAAATTTTCCAAAACAATGGCTAGTGAACAAAGAATATTCAAATTTTCGATAACCTGGTCTTCATCAACAGGTTCTACAGTCGTGTATCCATCCATAATAGTGAATGAATCAATGAATGAATTAGTGTTAATAAGAAACATTAGTGTTGTTTAAATTACATCGAATCAATAATTATAATAGTATCACTACGGCTTGATAGTATCAACATGGGGGTAATACACACTGAATATCAGAAAAATAAGGAGAAATAACAATTATACAAATTCATGAATTTATAGTCTTCACGTGTGCAATTCATGGATGATACACATAGTAAAATAATTACTAGCAAGTTAAGAAAATTTGTTCAGAATACTTTTAATGCTGGTAAACTACATGGTGATTTCTCGCTAGCTAGCCACTTTTAATTGCACCCACCGATTCAACTAAGCTTGTGGTGGAGCGAGTTATTTTGTCCATTAATCAAGGAACTTGAATTTTTATGTTCGCTAGTGTGGTTAAATAAAGGCGTAGTGAGAAGCATCAACAACTCGATATTAGAACACCTGATTCAAACTGGCCGCAAAGCTAATATTGAACAGTCTTTCTACATCATCAGCTATCATGTATGAAACGAATTGACAAAACATTGAGGTACCGTCAGAAACAACCAGTGCATTGTGTGAAAAAGAAGCAAGTTCAGCCACTACCACTACTAACTTGATCGGCCTTTAGTAGAGACTATAAATTCATGAATTTGTATGATTATTATTTCTCCTAAGTTTTCTGATTTTCAGTGTGTATTACCCCATGTTGATACTATCGAGCTGCAACCCATTGATACTATCATCATAATTGATTCGATGTTATTTGAACAACATTAATTTTGTTTAAAACAAGCAACAAAGGTGTTAATAAGTCAGGATTTAATGAATTCATCAAATTTCGGCATATGTCACTGCAAACGCATGTATGCCTAAGATGCGCTGATGATATTTTTATTGTCTGTGAAAGCAGATCAAAAGCTGAAGACCTCCTGTTGATAAAATTCAACTCATGCCACCTGAATCTCAATTTCACAGAAGAACATGAAGAAAATGATGTTAATAAATTCTTAGACGTTTTCCCAGTGAAAAGGACTGATGACAAAATCGAAAGATCTATATTTAGAAAGTCTTCATGGACAGGACAGTACATGCATTTCAAGAGCTTTTTTCCAGTCTAGTGTAAAAAGAACTTAGTCAGAACACTGTTCAGTAGAGCACGGAAAATTTATTCTGACAGTACTACTGAGCATGAAATAAAAGCTCTGAAAGATACTGTATCTAAGATTGGAATGTACGTCGGTGGCACAGTGGTTAGGACTCTCGCCGACCATGCACATGATCCGGGGTTCGATCTCCTGCCGACTCACACCTGATATCTATGGTCGGCCTGCTAAATTTGGGCTACTGATATCACATTCTGAAAATTCCATACCTGTGCCAAAAAATACGGTGTAGAATCAAGCTGTAATGAAAAAAAAAAATAAAATAAATACTCTAAAGAATTTAGCCTATGCAAAACTATCCAAACAGTTCCGAAGAAATCTGTCTATATCAGTTTGCCATTCAAAGGAGATGATGTACAGGAAGTAGTCAAACAAAGACTTGATAATGCTATCAAGAGAACTTATTATTCTGCAAGACTTATTTAACTTGACACCACTAAGCGAGTGCTTCAACAATCTGGGATAGA